TATGTCCACGTCTTGGGGGAAATAATTCGGACCGAACAACCATCAACGAAGCACAGGTGATCGTTTTGAAGACGCCAGGTGATGGAGGTGTACGGATGATATACTGCTACGTTCAGTCGATGGCAGGATCGTCCGTTCTCCGCAACTGGCGCACTAACGGACACGCCTGGCTCGAGCGCGAGTCCCTGCTCGAACAGGGGCAAAAAAAGATTGGCCTCAAGGTTTCCCCTTTTGCAGTGTCAGTTTATCGCAGTGCCGATATCTGGCCGCCATCGAAACCACTTTTTGGTAACCACTCCACTGAACAGAACATTAATGCTGTAGTGAACAAGGAAACGATCGAGAAGAACCAAACCGCTTTAATGCAATATCGGACAACCGATAAGAGTAATTCCAAGTGATGAACAGCAGAAAACGCAAACAAGGGATGGTCGAGCTGGGAAGCCTGGCCTAAGACTGCACATTTTTTTTTAACAGGCAATTATTCAATCACTTATGACAACATATCTCCAGTAAAAGTTCCCAGAGCTCCGTCTCGTTGTGTGCTGAAAGGTAATAGGAACCTCCTTCTCCTTCTCCCTATAGTGCATCCCCTATAGCGTGAGTGTCGCTGCTCTTGCTGTTCCCCTCTCAACAGACCAATTTCTGCGAAGCGAGTACATTCCCTGCTCAAGAGCACTGCCAGTTGCGTAGGATAACATTGAACTCCTTCCATTTCATCCACGCCGTGTATGCTCGAGTCCTCCGGTCTGGTTCTCGACGTAGGCAGTGGTTAAGTCACTTCCCGTTGTCCTCAATCCTGTCCTCCTCTGATGGCTTCCTCATGGATTTCCGGTTGGTTTCGCTCACTCACTGGAGCCGAGGAACTTTGTTTTGCCTTCAGCAGAGCTGTCAGCGTGGATATGACATTGGTATCGTCACCAACTTTGTAATTCCACAGTGCATCCTAGTTGCTTTGGCGACGATCAAACTCACAACCTTTCTTTATGCGAACATAAGTCCTCACTCTTAACCACTGCATTCGCTTGGAACTATCCAGGCAGTATCCAATCTAAAGATGGAACCAAATTTTGATGATGCACTTCAAATTGCACATCAGCACATCCTGCTTAACGCGTTTCGTCTTCAGGTAAAGATATACTTGCTAGCGCTTTCTCCTTCAGTATTTTTTATTTTCTAGGTTTTGCCGACATTTCGTAGTTGGTAGCCCTTTCGAAATAAGTTCTTTTCTTCATAATCTAATCTTTGATCTAAACTGACTTGGTAAGAACCTACTCAAAGCAGAATCTTTGAACTTAGCAGAAAGCTTTGTTTAAAGATACGAAAGTTCCATGAATGCAGTGGTTTCGTAATCACACAGCGGCAAATAATAATACAGGCGTTTCGTGGAAATCACACAATGCAACATGGATGACATGTGCCCCTGACGATACCATAAAATTAACCATAACTCCATCCTTAGCTCTCGATCATCGCCAACTGAATCTATGGGTCCCAGCCGTCACATTCTGCTAACCCTTGTCAACATTTACTATGGGACCCTTGGTGCGGCCATGTCCCTTCCCAATTTGATCGAAATGTGGTCGCCTTGCCGAGTGGCAATTTAATTTAAGCATGATTATGAGGAAATGGTAGAGCCGTTAATGGCAGTGACCGAGAGAGTGTGGGTCACCGCGTTTCAATGTTTTCGCCATCCTGAAACTTTGCCAAACCATGCCACGAATTCAGAAAAATTAGTTCGCATCGCATTCGAATAGTTCGCTTTCTTTTCGCAAACTAGTTATTCATTACTTGGTCCTCTCTCCTTGGCTACGTATAAGCGTAACAACATGGAAGAAAAGTTAAGAAAGTAAATCATATCTTCAAAAGCTGACCAAATACTGAAATGTCTGGCTAGGACTTCCTTTACGTTTTACGTTTACGAGGAATCGACCATTCCCTGAACAAGTCGCACTTAATTGGTACGTCAACGACCCATTGATGGTTCACATGAGTGGAGGCGGAAGCGCATTCTGACCATTGCGTCTCACGAGAGAGCCTTGCTTCGGAGCTTGTCGCAAATTTTATGCATACACTTAAGATGATGGTAAGATTTCATATATTAATTATCAGGAAAAGTGTCATATGATAGAGCTTCATCGTTTCTGAAATTATCTCGGGTAACTTTTACCAAATATAATTTCTAGGTATAAATGTAAGTTATAACAAAGTTGCCGCTAATGTGAGCTTTTATTGGTGGTAGAATTATTCCGAGAAACTAGGGAGGAGCTGAATTAGGCATCGTTGGAGCCTTGTAAGATCTTTGAAGATTTTTTGGCATCATCATGAAAAGACCTGGGTATTGGAAAGCAATCTACAGTCGAACATCGCATTCAACCCGCAATATTAGGAAAACCTAACTAATCGAAGCAGAGGCTTACGAGAAAGTTGCCTTTAGGAAGTTGGACATGAGATATCGCCAAAAATTCCCATTTGATTATTAAACACAATAACAGCTTCCAAACAACCGAGAAAGTATGCAAGTGCAATCCACGCCACTGTTACTCTACTATGTAATTTCATGCAACATTATTCTGGATGAACCCCTCCTGGAAATCAAACGTCACTTCCACAAGATACTTCCCTGTTCCGAATCTGTTAGGATTTACGTATGTTCACAAATCAACACATTTTCACAAACCTGCCCGATAAATGGTAACTAATCGGTTGATGCATAATTATTGCGGTTTTTTTTTCGCGACTCTTTTCTCTCGAAATAGTCTTAATGTTGAATTCGGAGTTAATAGAAATAATCTTCTTGATTTCCTTAATAGAAATATGTCTAGTAAGTCATCCTCATATACGCCACATTATGCTCTATTACCGGGAAGGTAGGAAGGTGGCACAACCATAAAGTGGTCCCAACAAAATTTTCGGCGATGGAGCAATCAGCCAAAGCCGAATAAACAATGGAATTTGCTTCTACGTCCGTCCTATTCACCAAAAGAAGCTCCTATGGATTATCGCGTCAATCGTAAATTGAAAAATTGGTTAGCGAACAGAACTTTCGACGAAGTGGATGGCTTGATGACCAACGTCAAGGCGTGATTGCCTCCAAGATAGAAACTTCTTCGCCTGTGGAATCCCACAGGCGAAGAGCCTAGCGAATGGGAAGCAGTGCTTGACGTAGATGGTGAATATGTTCCGGAGTAATTATTTGAGCATGCCTTTGCTTACTATTTCTATCGTTTCTTTGAGTAAAATTTGCTGAGAAAATCTGCAATTATTAAGCATCAACCTAATATATTATTATAATTGATACATCCTAGTCCTGTGGCATGCTCTGAGTATGTAATTTAAACCTCAACTACTGAGGTACCAATAGATGAGCTTCTGTGGAGGACAAGGTTATTACAATATATCAACGTAAGACTCAGTAACCATGAGTTCTTCGCTGACGGCAACGCATCGATTTACGTCGGATTAACTTCTTTTCTTGAAAACACCGTCATTTGCTAGCAGCTAAAAATCTTTAATTTCACAGAATCATAACGCTGAGCGTGTTATCTGAATAAAAGTCTACCCCGCTGAATGAAAAACGGAAAGGAGACAATGAATTGATAAAACGAAATGATACGATGCGGATCACGGAAGACAATGTTGGAACGCAAAATCTCGACAGATACGATGAATAATGATTTGTGCGCATACATAGAGAAAACCAATGTCTCCCTTGCATACAAACACACCCGCGTTACGGACAATTACATAGCCAATACACAGTAGCAGAGAAACGGAACACATAAAATGAATCTACACAACAATAACATTTTCATAATTCAATGATTCCTTGGCATGGTACAGAAATAAATAAATACTTTAGGAATTTTCACAATTCGGAAGGCATAATGGAAAAGGTCGAATGTAGAAGGATACACAACCAAGATATAGGGATTCGGACTTCTCAAGTCTTACAGCAGCTTGAGGACGACTTTAGCGCCAGGCCGTGATCTCACTTGAACTTAATTCGAAGTGGCAATACGCCCAAAAAAAAAGGGGAAATCATGATGATAAAAGGATCTAACTCCCAGATGGGGGCACCCTTTGTGCTCGCATCTACTTCTACTCACTACGTAACCAATAAAGCGCTCATAATGAGATAAGTGGGATTCAGTGCTTAACGAAACAGAAAACAATCCTAAAGAAAACAGTACTAACAAAATATAGAGTGGAATAAGGTCAAAACTTTCGGACCCGCATGCAAACACCGTTATTACACTTGTTACAAACTCTTTTAAAAATATATACGATGTCGGGAAAGGGAGGGATTCGACAGAAAAAGCGCAATGCAAACAACGTTAGTCTCAGTTACATAAAGCTACCACATCGTATTAATCAACGCCTTTGGCGCAACTGCATATGAAGGGCGCATAACCATTTCGCAGATGAGTGACAGCTTTCACAAAACAAGGACTTCATCCGTTTCCGATGATTTGCGGCAATTAATGCAAGGCATTGAAGGTTGCGCTGTCATTAACTTGGCACTCATCTCTATGCTTTGTCACCGAGTGAAACAGAACGCGAAGAGGATCCACTGTTCAGCTCCCGTTCTGGATTCTTCAACACTGAAGCCGCCGACTGTCTGGTGATTCGAGTAGTCTTGAACGGCACCACATCGGCTTCGGGATAAGCGGGATCCGATCCAGCTCTTTTTCGACGCGGAGCTGGTTCCGGAGTAGGCGAGGAGGAGCCATTTTCCGGGTGGGAGCTTCGGGACGTTGAAGGTGCAATAATCGGTGGCAAAAGCGCTTTTCGGGAACTCTCAAACAGCTGAAACACGCAAGTAAAACAGTACAACTGCGAACTCGCAGTGGAAGCGAGAGCTATGAAAACCTAACAGAAAACCTACCGCATCTAAGTGATAGTGTAATTTGTAACGACGATAGAAAATCGATATCTCCTGGGGTGTTCGAGTTCCAATGATACTCGAAACCTCACCAAACTTTTTTCCGACCGTTCTGAACGCTAAAAAACTGCCAGTCATATAAAACTACATACAAGGTGATAAACTGTATTCCCACCTCGTATGATTTTCAAAATTTCGTCGTCGGTGAAGCCTTCTAAAGCTACTCGGCTGACGACATTGCCGTAGTCGGTTTGCAGCGCACACCTCAAATTATTCAGCTCCAATTAATGTTACCTTAGTTTTCACTCGAATCCGAATTCATTTCAAGAAACGTCGAAAGTAACCCATGGCAATGGCTCTACAACCAACTAACTCTACAGGTGATGATGGTGCTCCGTATGAGAATGCCAGCCTAATGTTACTATCTTTCTAGTTACACGCTCCTCTCAACGATTTTTATTTATCTTCCCTTTCTGAGGCTTTTTTGCCTACAATGCAGTTAATCATTCTTTTTGAAGGGCCTTCTATTACAGCTAGACAGGGATAGCGCACTTATATTGTCATGCACTATTGATTCAAAAACGACATTAAGTGTTACAACATACGACTCAATGAAGAAGGGAACGATTGTAGCAGGAGAACTCCATATGGGACTTTGAAAAACAGCAGAGGTAAGGACCCTGATGGAATGGCAAGGCATAAAATCCACACCACTTTTGACGGTCGAAGAGGGAACGAACAATTGGCCTACTGTGAGTGACGACAAGCGATACCAGCAAGTACGTTCAGGGCAATGAAGATCTTTAGAAGCATTAGAACGAATCGTCCACAAGGAAAAAAACTGCTCGCGAAATTGAAAAATAGCGAATTGGGAACTGATTACGAAGCTGGGCAATGGAGGTGATTTAGGGTGGAGCTAATTTATCTCTCCCATAAAGAAATATGCATTCGATTACGATCAGATTTTGCGGGAGTATTGAGTGTTTGTGAACCGTTCCCCCTTTACTGAAAGAGAGCGAGAAAATTGATATCCACTACAATGCTTTTGAACATTTTCAAAATATACATATCTACCTATATAAAAAAGGATTTCTCCTTAACAAATTCAACGGAAGAGATGAAGCTCGTCGATTACAACGGAACTAACCTCCTATCGCATATGAGCCCTTGACTGGAGACTTAAAACTAAGGCTAGTCGAACATTGGTATCGCTCATGCTTTGGTTTTATAAACCAGTAAGGCACAGTTTCACTTGTTTTTCATTGAATCACGGCTATCCTTCAGTGTGGGTTCTCTCAGTAATTGCTGAGAGACGTAGGATTCGGGGAATGCATTCTCTGCTTCTGCTGTGTTGGACCGATTTGTACCTTCTACCTCATCGCGCGTGTATCCGTGCCCGCGTGTATAAAGGGTATGCGGGTGCGGTTGGTATTCTGCACTCTGCAAACTCGAAAGCTTGCATCTGAAAGACTGGGAAGCCATCCGGGAGTTAGGTAGCTGCTTCCAGTAAATAAGCCCCTTGTCCGCTGTGGGATAGCNAAGAGCCTTCCAGTAGACTGTTCCATTGTGAAACAGATTACATCATATTTATTTAACGTATTCATTAAAAAGTCTCGCATGACTGACATCGCTGTTGCTCCGAGGTTTTACACGACATCAAACCATCGTCTCCTCCGCGCTAGACACTGTTTTCAAGGCGTGGAGAGAGTCGCAGAGCTCAGAAAATGAAGCCTCACGACCGTCACTAAATTGGATCGCCTTGCTTTTCTCTTGAATTTACAAGAAAGTCGTCGCTGACAACAGCGATGAGGTATATAATCGGCTCAGCAAACATCTTCGCGATAGCGTTAAGAGAGCAGAGAATCACACATTGTCAAAAGGCGTCTCTCTTCGAAACTCAAGCTGATACGCTCGCGAGGGAATCGCGAGAGCTTCAGGCGATCATCTCCGTTTTCAGTCTTCGCAGAGCCAGCCGGAGTTTTGCTAATTATAGGATCAAAGCGGTTTCCCTTCGCCATCCTGACGAAACATCACTTTCGACTTCTACTCGGAACTTTTTAACAGACACTTCTACCTACCTATCTACCAACCTAGGCCCAAGATAAGGTTCCTTCTCAGTTCTAACTTCCGGAACTCGACATGCCATCCATGAAGATTTGTACGGCGCCCAGTCCCGATTAAATTAAACCAACACATACGAGGGACCATACACCAGTTACCGCCAAACCCCTGGATAGGGTTCTCTCGCATTACCTGCCGTAATGCCAAGTCCCCATGTCGTGGTAAATTAGCAAGACAGTGTTACTGCATAAGAAGGGAGATCCACAGGATACTGGTTACTATCGCGCAATCTGTTTGCTGTCAGCAATCTACAAACTTATCGAAAAAGCCGTCTGCAACAGGACTGGCAGAATTCTAGACAAAGGACAGGCATGTGAGCAAGTAAGATTTCAGAGATGGTTCAGTACAATAGATCACGCCCACACTGTTAGAAGACTCACTCAAGAAATGCGAGGTAGGGCCGCTATAATGTTCGTTAATCGATTCGAAAAAGGCCTCTGATACAGTCGAGACAGAACCGGTAATAGAAGGCCTGGGCAACCAGGGTGTTCCTACTCAATATCGCATAAGTATGCTCCGTGAGCTCTAGAACGACTTCACAAACAGGATTTCGCCGTTCTATATGAAAGTCATTGTCAAGATAGGGGCTTGGCAGGGCCATACCATCTCGCCCAAGTTTGCCGCTTTCAAGAGTTTCATGCGTTATTCGGAATGGGAAAACTTTAGAGCAAAAGTCGACGGCCGCAACTTACAAGAACTCCGCATTGCAGATGGCATCATGCTTATAACAATAGACATCGAGTAGGCGGAACGAATGATAGCCGAATGCGACAGTGCTTGTGGGAAGGTTGGCTTAAGAGTGAACCTAATAGAGACTATGCTCATGAGAAACGGATTGGTATGTGATGCTACCTTTACGCTCAACGGACCGAACATACCTAAATGCTCTAGTGACCCGTATTTAGGTTGAGAAGTCAACATGATGGATGACCTGGCCTCACTACTGAGCAGAGGGGAATGCGTGGCTCGAGCAGCATTTGAAGATATCGAGGGAGAGGTGAAGAAGACATAAACATCCGACTCCGCGTTCACCTTTCGACACTGCGCTCCTTCCCGCTTTAGCCTACCCCTTGGAAATTTTTATTCTACGAAGGAAAGATGAACCTGAAGTCAGCGCCATTGGAAACGGAAAACGCTGTGGAAAGGGCAATGTTTGGGATTGTCGTATACATGCAAATGCAAAAGGAAATTTGGAATTACGGGCTCCGCCAACGAACGAAGACCAGAGATGCCGTTGTTTACGCCTAGAAATCGAAGATCTGGTGGGCCGGACACATAATGCGATATAGTTATAACCGTTGGACCAGGGCGTTTACTGATAGGATCTTCCGGGACTTCAGACGACCACCAGTATGGCCACCGGCGCGATGGTAAGGCTTCGTCAAGCTCTGAACGAAAGAATGCTATGCTTAGTGTCCCTCGAGCGAGGATAATACGATGCATTACTTTGGTTAGCGAAAGGGATGAGTGGAGACATGAAGGCTTCTACTCGAGAAAATCGACATCATCGGAACGACATGAGTTAGAGGTGAAGATTGAGAATGCATAAGTTGGTCTTCACGACTCATGAGAGTATTGAGGTGCTCGGTCAAATAAGCTCATAAGTCCGCTATATCCTTTCAGACCCCACTGCCTAACCAACTGAAATTTTAACCACTCAAGCCGTTCATCAACCTCAAAACGCTGTGGAAAGGATGATGCTCGGAATTCCCGTGCATATGCAAATGCAGAAGGGAATTTGGGGTTACAAGCTCCGTCCACGTCAGCGTAGTTGTACTAACAAAGTTAATCGGCCAGTGACAACGTTGCTTTCGCAGTCTTTAGGCACACTAATAATTCATGATTACTACAGGCATTTTGTAACTAAGAAAGGTTACGGTATTTCAAGGTCTTAAACGTGACATGAAGATAACCGCTACGTGAGATGGCAGATAGGTCGCTCAAGACACCAATCTTCGACTCGGTAAGCGTGTGCTTCCGTCTATGTCTAATCGCGAACGTATCACACAAAGAATAAGATTTGATTCGACTGACGCGAGCTCATCTATGGGATTGCAATGGAGAGCTTGTGGCTAAACCAATTTTACCATTTTTTACTTCGCTGCGCCAGAAGAATTGAAAAACCGCTTCCAGCCCCCCTTCCGCAACCCAAAAACACTTTAAACGTTGCAAGTTCGAAAAACGACGTCGTCGTTGAATGCAGTTCAGAAAGATGCTACGAGAAAAGCCATTTTCACTCCGCGGCTATGAAGATAGAAAACGTTTCCTTTCTAGCTTCAGCATTTTTGAATACTAGCGATCTGCTGACCAACCCTGTCGGCATGCTAAATGCTGATGTCTCTTTCCTGGAAAGACCGTAGTCAAACAGTTTGCAAATTTCTGACACAAGTATTACCACTCACATCCTCGGGCTAAAGAGTGGCGAAATAGCGGGATTTTATGTTCATCCCAAGTATGCACCGAACCAATTGCTGACTTTAAGCAACTACCTCTACCAGTACCCATCACATTGAGAATATACGCCCCCAAGGCTACTAGCTTCTAGTTGAACTACAAAAATTCGGATGAAACGAGACGAGACAATGAAGCCGGTATGTCCACAATATAGATCGAACATCAAGTTTGCTACTGTTACTATCAACTACTCAATGTATACACTTGAAATTACGGTTTTCTGTCACCTAACGGAGCTCTCTTCGACAAACCGTACCTCGAACTCGTTGTCGGCTTGAATTTCTGTGTCAGTTCCATGATTTGTTCATTTTTCAACTTCTTCTTTGCAGGATGTGTAGGGATCTGTAACACGGAAAATCAAATCCAGCACAATTCGAGTTCATTTTTCGGAATCAAAATAAAATAGTTTGACACTAGCTTAATCAAAACTCTGAATGCTAGCGCTTCTTCGAAAGATCAATTTAACTTTGTCATCTCTTGCTTAATACATCCCATTAATAAGAGATGAGTCATTACACATGCAAGATGTGTATTTAAGAGGAACCGGAATCCATCAGGAGATTATCAAATCCCTTTTCATCTTTCCATTTGTTTGAAACAAATTTCATGAAGGATAAAAGGCAAGGATAATGGATAATAAAAGTAGGTCCATGTCACTCGCTGTCGCTTTTCTCGCTCAAAAATGCCATGAGTTCGACTACTGCAAATCTAGAAAAATTGCGCCGGCAAAGCGGTAAAGTTGACAGGGCGGCTGATGGTGCACCACAAAACATGGCTGACGTCACAAGACTAATCATTTACGATACCACGGCCTCAGAAGATACTTCGCCCCTGTTCAATAAGCAGTATGCAACTCCTTTGAAGTTAGTCCACTTCTATAGTGTACTGAAGCCACCCTTCCCGAATGCTTGATTGGGAGGGGAGCCACTGATTTCAAATCCTTACGCAAAGTATAAAGAAAGCGCTGCTT